AAATGAGTTAAACATTATTCTGTTTATAGAACTAGAATGACCAGGCACCAGGAGCAGGAGATTATGTTCATTGGCATTTTAAAGATGGTGCACCCTCAGCAGGTTAAAGCACAGTGCTAAGAAGCTAAAGCCACTTCAGCATGAGTTCCATCCTCAGCCCCGGAGGTGATCCACATGGCATGGCAGACCGCTCCTGACTCGCTTCTGCTCCTTTCAGCAGTGTATTTTGGTAGATCTGTCTGTTCTGCTCCCCACTCTGTCTGGTGAATCCTCTCACCACCCCTGCACTTTTGGTCTGTACCCCAGTTTGGTATGCATAAATAAATAAATAAATGTTTAAAAAAATAAAAGTTGGTGCGCCCTGACAATCTTCACCTCATACACAGAGGACACCTCTTTTCTCCACAGGAGCTCCTGGACCCCAGCACTTACTGAGTGAGGTGGTGGCCTCGCCTCACAGGATTCCCGAGCAATCTTGCTGAGCACGTGACAGTCAGTCTCCACCACATCCAGGGTGAGATAGTACGCAGCGGCTGGTCCATCCTATGGCCAGGGGCGAGAAAGGAACATCTAGCGTGAGCAGCAACCTGTAAGCACTGGCCCCCAAACCCTCTGTTTATAGCAGTCAAGGCTAAAATGCTTATCAAAACTTTTCATCACATCTGCAATACTAGGTAAGTGTTACCTTTGTTTCTAGTGACAGTAAGAGCTATGCAGACACCCTGGCCGAGGAGAGCAGAGCTTCTCAGCAGCTTCCAGTACAGAAAGTACTGGCAAGCTGAGTCCCTGGTGCCCAGCCCTAGTCAGACCAGCAAGCTTCTGGGGGGGCGGGAGGGGGGTCGGGGAGGGGGCACCACCACTTGCCTGCCTGTGTTCACGGACGTCGTTCACTCGCTGGAGGATCAGCGCGTAGCCTTGCGTGCGGTTCCTGTTGATGTGTCCCAGGACGTAATTAGCAAACGACAGCACATCTGAGTCATTGCAGCCACGGGGGAGTAAAGGCGTTGGGTTGATGGGTGGCAGGTCTGGCCCGGGTGGAGAGGTAGCCCCAGAGACCACAGCCAGGGCACAGAGCACCAGGGGCAGGAGCAGACCCATTCTGTGGGGAGCAAGCACAGGATGCGGCAGTCCAGGACACTGTGAGGATGTGGCTTATATAATGTTTTGTAAAAACCAAGCCAAGCAGTTTTGTAATCACAACCTGAACCTGTGATCAGTAGTTCAAACATGATGTCTCAATTTATCTCCTTAAATAGTAAATGTAGATTTCCCTGAGTCAGTACTTGGGAGAGGATTTGCCAAATTTTCTAACCTTAGACCCCTAAGCAATCTCTATTAATGTGTACATGTAGGAAAATTTGTTTCCTAATCTTTTCCTATGGGATTATAATAAATACTGAGGTCTAGGCTACTGGTTGGTCGTGACTGGATTCTGCTTGTGTCCAGGGTTCCACCTGAATCAGAATATGCAGGATTCTCACACACTCTCTGGTCCCTTGGCACCTCCCTCCAGCTGCTTCTTCAGCCACACTTGGACTTGTCTCAGGCTTGGGGCTTGGGGCCCTGGGGTCAGTGGTGACAAGTGTGTTCAGACTTCCTGACTGATACCTATATCACTGTTCAGATTGAATGCTTCAGTGACCAACATGAGGCACCACAGAAAATACCAGGCACTTTAGATATCTGATTAGAATTTTTTTTTTTTTTAGTCTTATTGGGTTCTTTTCTTTAAACAGAGACCTAGAAGGTCAAAGTAAATGACATTCCAACAATTTCCAAATACATTCTAAAGCTATACTTCTTTCTCTGAGCTCCATGGTAACAAATTTGTTAATAAGACCACTGCTGAGAGATCAAGATTGGCAGGCGGATCCTTATTATCTACAAGCTTACTTCTCAAAGGATGCTGCTGCTCTGCTGATGGCCTCCTTCCCTCACACGGGTTTTGCTGCAGCACAGGGCTTATTACGAGTTCTTCTCTAACCAGGACACACCCACACACTGATCAAAGAAAGGAAAGGGTATTGACACTGCCAAGCACCTCCCAAAGTTTTGTTGGCTGACACTTCAACTTCATTTGTTAACAGTGTCACCCCAAAGGATTTGTCCTTGTCCACATGACACCTGTAAAAGTGACAGTAGGAGGCCTGACTACAGGACACGTGCTCATGCAGAAGTTGCAGGCTTGTCATGTCTTCTTTCAGTGGGAGCTCACCTGTAATGCAGTACCTTCTTCTCTGGGGATTAAGGTGATACTAATGAAGAAATAAAAAGCTATGGGTTGGAGTGTGGGGAAACTGGGTGGTGCTGACCACAGGTACAAACTTCGGGATAGGATGAGTAAGACCTGAGGATCATTAGGTCTGTGTACAGCATGGTGACAAATGATAGTAGTGCTGTGTTGTATGCTGGAAAGATGCTGAAAGAGAAGATCTTAAATGTTCTCACCATGGGAAAAAAGAAAGAAGTTTTAAGTCTGTAAGCTGATGGATGTGTTAGCTAAATTGACGGTGGTGATCATTTTGCAATAAAATATATATCAAATCATTATATATCAAACTTTCAACTCACACAGTGTTATATATAGATTATATCTCAATACAGTTGAGAGTGGGGAGAGAATAATACCACAGTAATCGAATGATCAAAACTTACACCACCAACAATGGGAGAAACACACACTACGTGTCTCCTGATATGATGCACTGAAGACATCACCTCATTTCTCTGATATTACTGGGGGGACAGTAATGGCATAACTTAATTATAATCATGAGGACTAGACAAACATGAACTGATGGACATTCTATAGAACTGTTACCTTGTACCCGTCAAACATTTCTATTCATGTTACAAAAACACTAGTTTGGAGGGATATACGCATTCCATTGTTCATTACAGCACTGTTCCCAATAGACAAGCTATGGAAACTACCTAAATGTCTAAAGATAATTGAGTAGACTACGAAGATATAGTATACACACACATTGGAATGAAGAGATTTGCAAATTATACACATACACTCAACTATAAAAAAGATGAATTCTTGCTATTTGCAACAGCATGAATGGAATTAAAGGGGAATAATGTTAAGTGAAATAAGTCAGAAGAACAAAGACAAATACCAGGTGGTTTCACTTATATGTGGAATATAGAGGATAAAGCAAAGGGTCAGATAAAACAGAACCGATAAAATAGCATAGAAATCTGACTATGGAATTGAGGCTACCATAGTGGAAGGAGACGGGGTTGGGGGAGTATGAATGGAGTACAATGGACTATGGTGGAGAACTATGGTGCTGTGGTGCCTGGGTGGGTATGGTGTGGTGACTTGCATCTAAAGAGGTGTGTGATACTGTACCTCTGAACCACATGGTGTTGTAAATGAATGTAGTCTCAATAAAAAGGTAAAAAAAAAAAAAGCTATCAAAGTATCAGTTAGTTAACTCTAGAACTCTATTGTTCTAGAGTAAAAGAGATTAAAATGACAATAAGTAAATGTTCTGGATATATCTTAGGATAAGGTAGGGAAATATGCTCATGAAATGCTGATTGCAT